TCCCTCTCCCTCTCCCTCTCCCTCTCCTCTCCCTCTGGCAGGGTGAATCAGCAGGCAGCGCTGCTGCCGGCGGTGCTGCCAAGAGCCCATCCTTCAGGAGCAGACGCAGACAGCTCCATTGCCCAGCACCCCCATCCCCAGCCCTGTTCCCTCACAATCCCATGACCCACACACCCGCCCGGACCTTGGCTCTCTTCCCTCCTCCCCTCAATGCACATCAAATCCTCCCTCTCGGGTGGGCACAGCGTCAGGCAGGGAAGGGGTTAACTTTACCACGGTCCCTCGGTGTCCCGGCTGCAGGTGGGTGTCTCTGCACTGGGGACTGCTCCTGCTGTTGAACCCCAAGCCTCTGAGCCTTGCACCTGCCACCTGCAAACCTGCAGCACCACCTTGGCTCTGTCCTTCCCCGCTGCCTCACACAGGGCCCTGCAAATCCTTCAGGCTGCCCTGACTGGAGGCTGGAGCAGACACAGCCCCAGGAGAGCCCGTGGAAGGCAGCCTGCAGCTGAGGTACAGCCTGCCCTGGCTGCTCCCTGGGGACCCTCGAGGCTGTCAAAAGCACAGCAGGCATGGCAGAGTGCCACCTGACTGAGGCTGAGATGAGAGGAGGAAGAAATTTTTATATGAAGCATGTTTTTCATCATGCCTTTCCCCCCAGAGCCAGGTAGCACTGGATTTAAACCAGAGGCATCACTGGATGTAAAATCCACGTAGAGCAGCTCTTGACCATTCTTGCTTCTTTCACACTTTTCTGAAAAAGATCAAGAATTTCCCTGTGGACCTGGTGTTAAGGGAGACAATCCTTCAGATTTCCAACACGAAATCACCCAATCCCCAAATCCTACATTAACATCTACCATTTCCTTAAAACACAAAACCAAAGAGCAAGTCTCGCCCTGCCTGTGACAATTTTAGCTTCAGAGATCACCTTGGTATTGTAAAAAGCCAACATCTGGCATCAGATGCACAGCAAATGAGCTGAAAGTGAGCCCCCTGGGCAGGCATTTTATATCTATTAATAAGGAAAGGAGAACAATTATCTGCCTTGCTCCTACCACCAAACGCTAGGAGCCCATTAGGAGAGGAGAGGTGAGCAGAGAGGAGCCCTGTGCAGGCTGGGCACAAGGACAAACCTGAACCATCATCAGCAGAACCCAAGCAGCCCCAAAGCTTGTATTTAAAAGGAATTGAGAGAGCTGGATGTCCCCTGTCACCATAAGGTCCTTTCTGTCCCCGAGGTGGCATCTCTGCTGCTGTTCCTTAAGGCAGGAAGAGGCTGAGGATGGTGTGAGCACCCTTGGGGACGTGGCCTGCTCCAGGCTGGAGGCAGGCAGCGTCTCCAGGGACGGAGGCAGATTCCAGCTGGGATGTTTATATAAACATGTTATCAAAACCACAGCTGAAAAACAACCTGGGTGCAGTTCTAGGGGCAGGGGGGGAGGAAAAGGGGAGAAAGCCAAAAAAGCTCTTGGCCTCATCTGCTCCTGCAGCCGAGATCCACGTGCCTTCACACACATGGGGCTGCTTGCACGAGGCAAGGCTGCTCTCCTGTGAGGTTGGGATCAGAAACAGTCACAAGCTGGACTCAGCTACCCAGAACCAGGGCTGAGCACATGGGGAGAGGAAATCAGGGAGGTAAGTGCCCAGG